GTGAACAATCAGCGAGTAATTTACACTCATTACATAATTGTAGTATCGGGGCACAGTGACTTAACATATGTGGATGATTGTTAAATAACAAATCATACACTTGATACTGTTCTTCTATTATCATCATTAATATCACTATCATTATTATTACTACCGTTACTACTATTCGAAAAAAAAAGAAAAAAAGAAAGAAAGGAAAAAGAAAACGAGAAGAGGTAAAGAGAGAGAGAAAAATATTGCTCGGTGAACCTATACTGTTGTTGGGCACAGAAACACCCCGTCCACAAACACACTGAGAATGGTAACGGAAGATAGTGCTACACTGCGTACAACTGACCCGGTGGTTTAATCTTGGGCTATTGGTAACTTATTGGGTCGAGCAGGTTAGTAAATAAACAGTGAACTATTTCCAAACGATATTCAGTGAGTCATAGATAAAGGAGGAAGATAAAAAAAAAAAAAAAAAAAAAAAAGTTATGACGTCCCAGTACTTAATTCTTAATAATAATGTGACATTCTGCACGAAAAAAAATCTGATTTTGGAATGAGAGAAGTATATTGCAATTCAAAAAGACTATTATTTATTTACAACGTTCTTGTATTTAATTGCAACAAACGTTCTAGCATTTAATTACAAACGTTCTACCATTTAATTACAACAAACGTTCTTGCATTTAATTCTAACGGACATTCTTGCTTGTAATATTAACAGATGTGCCCAATAATAGTATAGGTCCACCGAGTATCAAGTTCAAATATCTTAAATTGTCAGTATAAAATATAATTTCACTTTATAGCAAGTTATTCCAAAAGATGTTCTAAAATTTAAACCCAACGAACTTTTTAGCATGTATTACCAACACATTGTCTAGTAAGTTAAAATTCAAAGAGATTCTAGTATTTAATTCCAACAGACTTTCTACCTTAACATTCTAAAAGATGCCCTAGCATATAGTTCAAACAGACTCTCTGGCATGTCATAATTCCAACAGACATTCTACTCAATAACTCCAACAAACCTACAAACTGTCCTATTTCCATCATTCTTTTTTCTAACCCGCCATAATTCCTATAGGCCGTCTAGCGCAATATTCCAACAAACACCTTAACATTTAATTACAACAGACTTAATACCACGTCTCCAACAAACGCCTTGGCATCTAATTACAACAGACTTAATACCACGTCTCCAACAAACGCCTTAGCATTGTATCCGAGACTGTCGCAGTTCTAACAGGCATTCTAGCATGGGACTCCCCCAGCCGTAACAGGCATTCTAGCATGGGACTCCCCCAGCCGTAACAGGCATTCTAGCATGGGACTCCCCCAGCCGTCCTAAAGGACTCTTTAAATACGGGTCCTTTCTCGGGTCCTTTTCATACCGCATCCTCCGACAGAGGAATGAACGTCACGCTTTGACACGGAGCCGCAGCGAGATAAACAGCGGCCTCAGAAACACACAGTACCATGTTGGGGATTGTCTGGCTGATCAAAGGGCATACCGGACTTTTTAAGATTTTTTGCGTCCTGTGGCGATTGTAAATTTGTATCTATTTATATATTTTATCATAATTCCTTCATTTCATTACTATCATTTCTTTTTTCTTTTGAGAGAGAGAGGGAAAGGGAGAATATTCTTATATGGTGTTATATATATATATATATATATATATATATATATAATATATATATATATATATATATATATATTACATTCTATTATGCATATATATATATATATATATATATATATATATATATATATTATATTATATATATATATATATTTACATTTCTATTATGCACACACACACACACACACACACACACACACACACACACACACACACACACACACACACACACACACACACACACACACACACACACACACACACACATTTTCCTCAATAAACTAGTTTGTGCATTGTGGGTTTTTCTACCAACACACACACATATATATATATATATATATATATATATATATATATATATATATATATATATATATATATATATATATATATATATATATATATATTCAGTGTGATTAAAAATGTCGAGGATGAAGTTTCAGGAAACATCGTTCAGTTTATATATATATTAGTAGTTGTTTGATCGCATCATCTAACATCCATAGGGAAGGGTTGGTGTAAACAGCTTATGTAACGCAACACAAAATTCTCAACGTAGAAGAAGCCAAAGTGTACACCTTCGGATCCCCAATGTAAACACCTAACCTTCGAACATAATCATGGGATCCACTGTTTCAAAACGACCGTTGTAACCGTTAACGTATTTCTTCTTCTGTTTTCGAAGCCTGCGATTTCGTACACAGACATATGTCGGTCTCAGTTCAACTAAGCATACACCCATTTCTATACCATACATTGTACCAAGGGACTGCACAACACAAACGAGGAAATAAATAGTCAAATAGATCAATATATAAGTAAAATAACGAAGAGAAAGAAAGTACGCACCTACAATTGCAGATAGGGTAGGGGTAGAGGGGGTGCCTTGGCTGTCCTCATAAGCGTCAACCGCTGCATGATTATGCTCATCACGAGAAGCTGTTTATCGCAAGACCAATCTTACCCCCAATCCTTTCTGTCCCTAATCGCATCCTTTCCTCGCATATTCGTGATGGTCAAGGGATTATCATCAAATCGGGTTTGCACACAGCTCTGCACCTCTAACCCTTAACCGTAGACTAGGTATGTATAAGGAGTTAAAGCAACAATTAATTCATCAAGGTTGCTCTTAATCTAGACTCGGTGTATAGAGGGACCTATTACAACATCACTGTTGCTCTTTATCGTAGAATGGGTATATGGAGGGACCTACTAGAACCCAATAGTTCATCATGGATGTGATAGGTCCTATTAGTTGTTCATATTTCACGGACTGGGCCTATTACTCCATCAATGATGTGCTGAATTACAGACTAGGTATGTAGAGGAACTTATCAGAACCTAATACTTTATCAGTTAGAGTTTAATCATAGGCTAGATATGAAAACATACCTATTATAAGATATCATTTCTTCAGTGTTGCTCTTAATCACGGACTAGTTATTAGTGAGGAATATTTACTTTATACTTTATCACGTACTGAGTAGGAAGAGAGATTATTACTGCCTATCTGTTCAACAGTATTAATTACAGGCAGTATATAGAGGGACCTATTACTACCTATAACTTCATACTCGGTATGTAGAATGACCTATCTTTTCCTATTACTTCATTAATGTTGTTCTTAATCACGAACTGGGTTTGTAGAATGACTTATTACAACCTATTGCTATAAATTATGTATTTAATCACAAACAGGATATTTAGAAAGACCTGTTACAGCCTCCTACTTCGGTATTATTCTTAAGTATGGACTGGGTATGTAAAGAGCCATATTGCAACATATTACTTTGTCAATGATAGGTTTAACCATAGACTTTGTATGTGCGACCTATTACAGCTACTAGTTCACCAGTCTTGCTCTTAGGCTAACCATATACTATGCATGTAGAGACTCATTACAACCTATTAGTACGTGTATAGTTCATAGTTCACCCGTACCACCTTCTTTAATCTTTAATCTTATTACTCGTGTAAGGCCACCAAAAAGGTTTACTAGTACAATAATACTGCTTATATTCTTTAGGCAACAGGTCTTCCTAGTGGTAAAAGGTTGTCCTCTGGCTATACAGGAAGGTCTATTTTCGTAACACTGACAGGAGCTACTTTGAAATGATTGACAAGGGCAGCTTTAGTATTCAACTTCCTACGACGATCTCTAAAAGACACACCTTTCAAGCGGCTAACCTGAACCGGCCTAATACTCCACAGGTCTTTCAGTTCGAAAGTACTCATGTGTTGTCCCCAGTAACTTTCAATGCTTTGGTAAAATCTCGTATTTGCTCTTTAAAAACACGTGAGACGGTTCAATATATTGATTTCGGCAGGATACATTGGTGTGCCTTTAGCATACAGTTGGCAGTACTGGCAGGTTTATTTCAAGTATAGGTCTACTTCCGGTGTCATACTTAGGCCTCGTCATTCTGTTTTTGGCAATACTGTCCGGCGTCACCGCTGACTACTAGATCTATTTATAGTTTCAATGTATCCACAGCTAATAAGTCGGTTTTATCCTCTTTTGATATACTTTCACTTCCTTGCAGCCTGAGCGAATGACGCGCAAATTATCCTAGAGAGGAATCTACGTGTTGCTTTGCCCGAGAAATGTGTGGAATTTTTTAAATCACAATCTTTCGGAATCGCTTTATACATCTCTCATCGAAACTGTGTCAAGGTGGCTTCCTCTGCGAATTTACATGATAAAAAAATGAACGTAAATGGTTAAATTAGTCGAATAAATAAACTAGGCAGTGGTATCTCCACGACGTAGCTATATCGCTGAGTCATCGTCTGAGGCGGCGGGCGAGCGCGTGTGGCCCCGACTCGCTCGCAGACTCAAGTACTCATCCTGGCGAGTTAAGTCAAGCTGCGTCTTGGTTTGCCGCTGTTGCGCTCTTATACCCGCCTTGACGACGCCAATTCTCGTGGGGTGAGTCACGAAGGGTTAATATTGTTCGTTTTCCTATGCGATATTCTCCCTTCTTTACCCCTACTTTTGAGTATATGCGATGTATAGCATGACGATCTGGTTTTCCTTGTGATCCGTTTTCGTCCGTTTGAGGTAGCCACGACTTTATCGGATATATATCACACCGTCGTCGATTCTCGCGTTCATTTCTACCCCCTTACCCCACGAAATCCTTACAAATCACACATGAACAAATATCCTCATCACACAATGAAAGAACTCAACATCCTTGACTGTATAAAAAAGGATATAAATAAATCGGAGCTAAAGCCGCACCCGGGGATCGGTTCCGGATGAGGGAACACGTGATAGCGATGACGTAATGCGTGACAGCCAGTGCGCCCCTTCACCTACATTTTCGCCTGAGTTGCTGCTCCAGTGACCAAGCCTTGGGGACGAGAGAGGGTCCATCATCGTCTTATCTTATCATAGTCTTGTTATTATGGCTGCTTCGGCTGGCGTACTAAAAGGACAAGGTTGTAGATGAATGCGGAATACCGATACGAATTTAGTGGTAAATTAATTTCTTCGGTTTGGGTGCCTTTTTTCGAAGAGGCATGTTTCTGGGAAAATTTTACTTTATTTTTTCCTTAATCATGAAAATATCCAAGGCGTATATGAATCTTAAAATTATCATAATTTGCAAATAGTTATGAGTACTCCCGAATGGCTTAGTCCTACCTGCAACAGGGTCAACGTACGTTTTCTTTGAAGCAATAAAGGCGAGCATACCACAGTGACTCCGGTGAAAGGTGTAATAAGACAGCCTTTGTGTGTGTGTGTGTGTGTGTGTGTGTGTGTGTGTGTGTGTGTGTGTGTGTGTGTGTGTGTGTGTGTGTGTGTGTGTGTGTGTGTGTGTGTGTGTGTGTGTGTGTGTGTGTGAGAGAGAGAGAGAGAGAGAGAAGGCGGGGGGTTAGAGGGATAGGGAAGGGGAGGGGGGTTAGAGGAGGGGGAAGGGGAGGGGGTTAGAGGGAGAGTGAAGGGAGGGGTTAAAGAGATAGGGTGGGGGTGAGGAAAGAGAAAAAAAATAAAAGGAGAGACGGAACAGAAAGCAAGAAACATATGCAAAGATATAGATATACGACTAATCGATGAATAGGTAATGAATGTGTGTGTGTGTGTGTGTGTGTGTGTGTGTGTGTGTGTGTGTGTGTGTGTGTGTGTGTGTGTGTGTGTGTGTGTGTGTGTGTACTAGTACGTGTGTGTGCGTGTGCGTCCGCGTGTACTCATATCAACCCAACTTTCTCAATCTTGTAATTAGAATAGGCCTGTTTTAATTCCCTTTCGTAATTTTACGTTATTCGCGAAAGGTATATGACCAGTATCATTCCAATTGCATTTCCGAGCATTTGTAGTTGATTTTCAAGGTAAGAGACCTATGGTAGACTTCATGGTTATATTTCTTTATTCAAACGCAACCCTTAACTCTGGAGTATATACCTAACATAGGTTTCGGCTAAACTCTCCATTAATATCAATCCTTCAATTTATATCTGAGACAAAATAGGATTACATTTTCCATTATATATATATATATATATATATATATATATATATATACATTGTGTGTGTGTGTACATACATACATTTATCTATTTATACATATGCATACAGATTTATACAAATAAACACACACATATAGATATGTATATATGCATATATACATATATGTATGTATAAATGTATATGTGTGTGTGTGTGTGTGTGTGTGTGTGTGTGTGTGTGTGTGTGTGTGTGTGTGTGTGTGTGTGTGTGTGTATTCATGGTTATAATATATAATATATATATTATGACATATTATATGATATATATTATATATATATATATATTATATGCTAAATGTATTATATAATGTATAGTACATACGGGTATATACATATGCATAAACATATAACCAAAAATTGTTAAAAAGTCAAAATTGTGAATTGCAATATTTTCTTTCCTCCAACTCTGCAAGAGACAAATCATTAATATGCTTACCTGTAAATGAGAATGTCTAAATTGTTGACCACAGTTTCTTCAGTTTCTTCATGCAGAATGGGGGAGGCTTGCATTCATGAAAGCAGTTATACTGTCGACTCCAGAAATCACTAAAGCTTTTGCCTCCCTGTACAGTCACGGACAGAAGTCGTGACCGTGGACGAAGCTTCGAAACTCTCCTAGCAGAAGCACCGAGATTCACACTTGGGTGTTCGAGATGGAATTCGAAATATGTGACACCAGATTTGACAGCCTTCTTTCTTCTTTTATAGGGTTTTAGATTTGACAGTCTTGGTCGTACTAATATATATATATATATATATATATATATATATATATATATATACATATATATACATATGTGTGTGTGTGTGTGTGTGTACAGATAAATAGTATTTACGTATCCGCTTCCGACAATAAATTTGTCGGTTGCAGAAGTACAAAAATGGTAATAAGGTTATTTTCTGCAAGAGGGTATATGTACTGCTCAATGTATCTTTTTTATGAAATCTATTGCACGCAGATGGTTCTACAAGTGCTCAAGGAATTAATTATAGTATGCCCGATGTAACCTCGCATGATTTTTCCATTCCTTGAATTTTCGTGTTTTTTCTATGTTACTGATATCAATAATGCGATTATCATCATTGACATCATTACCGCTATACAGATATTGCAATACTAAAAGGAAAAAAACAAAGATAAAAATAAGAATGTCCGAAAATGAAGGAAACAGGTGAACAGGTGAGGTAGGTAGTACTAATAACTGACTCTTTGGTGATTATGTGCTATGTATAACAATTATCAAAATGAAATCTCCGTATACATATCATGTATACGGAGGGAAGAGCAAGAAAACACGAATATGAATCTTCGTGTCTTTGCTTCCATTTATTATTTCACTAGCATTCTATTTATCACGAATCCTTCACTTGTTTCACCTTCATTATTGCTTCTCCATTTAACAATATGTGTTCCAATAGGGTTCTGATAAATACATTTCAAACAGTTAAGAGAAACGCCGCGGATATTGTTCCGGCACCGGATTTTATAACATTTTGGCTATTCGTCCGGCATACACTCGCGCTTGCGCACTGTCAACAATTCTGTCTTTGTCATTTCACGCAATATTCATAGCCGGATCGAGACTCTGCTGGGATATTCTTCCGGCGTTTTTTGTCGGAAGCCTGCACTGAAGAGCTAATTTTCCGGCGGGAGCGCACATCATCAAGATTTTTAATTATTCTTAGGACCGAGTGGACATACATGCTAAGTTTGCTATAGCTTGACATTTCTGTGATTTTCATCCCTAGTCTGTGATTCTGTCGTGCCTATAAACGATAGGACCGCACCCGTCAGAGACGAAGTCCTCCACTCCCGCCAACAATGTTGGGGAATGCCGTGGGGAATCGGGGGTTGGGGGGGGGGGGTCGTTCATACCATGCATTTCAAAAAGCAAAAGAATGTGGGAAATTGAAAATCCGAGCCAAGGATAGCATTTCAGATGATAAAGAAAGTGAAAAATGTACGATCCCGAGAGAAGATTCGGCCACAGATGATTCGACACGGTATTGCCCGACCGAACGAGCGAGTGAACCGCATCTTAAACGCACGAACTGCCAGTAGGATCGCCTTATGAACCGAACATCCCTCCTAACCCGGGGGCTACGCCCCCGGACCCCCTCCTGATTGCCGTATTTCCCGCTGCAGGCAAACACTAAGTAGGAGTACTTCAGCTCTGGCTTTATTTTCTTTTCTGGTGTACGCTTCAAAGCTGCATCAACAGTCCTTGAATCTTTGACATAAAACTGTGCAAGTGTTCTCTTGAAATTTGGTCAAGCTGTCCTTCACATCAGCAAAACTGGCAAATTCAGTTCCAACTTTGAAGGAATCCATAATCGGTGATCGATCCTTAGCCATGAACAATGAACTACACAAAAATAGCGCCAAAGTTTGTATGCAAGGCTAATGCGCGAGTGTGTGTTTGCGCGCAAATAATTAGTGCGCATGTATGCCGGACGAATAGCCAAACTGTTACAAAATCCGGTGCCGGAACAATATCCACGGCGTAAGAGAAAACGTTCCGACGTGTGGTAGGCCTACATCCCGTTCAGAGGGCGTTTCCAGCAGTCAATTTACCTCCTTGTTTACTCACGTTCTTACTTGTGCTTCACAGGACAAAATGCCACGTGGTCGCAGCGTCTACGACTCGTTCACTGTAGGATCTGCCCTAGAGTATAGGGGAGGTTCCTTCACCATCAACGGCCGCTCCTTCAGGATAATGTCGGGAGCTTTGCACTACTTTCGAGTCCATCCCGACCAGTGGGCCGACCGCCTAGCCAAGCTTCGCGCTGCCGGACTCAACTGTGTCGAAACGTGAGTGAAAAAAGAGATAGTAGTATGGTGAGTTTGAGCTGCAGTTACGTGTAGTTAGCCTGTAGGATGAAGATGTTCTGGTTTATCGACTTATTTTATGCGATGCAGTTAGGTGTAGTTAGCCTATAGGACTAAGATGTTCTGGTTTATCTGCTTATGTTTGTTATTTGGATGGCGCGGTGTTAATGCTGATAGTATCCAGTACACATTCAACATACATTAAACTGGACAACACATGCGTGGCACCAAGAAGATATTGTACATTAACTGCAATAAAATCAAAGAGGCAATATGAGCACAGGTAGAAACAGGTTAATAATGACTGAGTCTAACGCACACACACACACACACACACACACACACACACACACACACACACACACACACACACACACACACACACACACACACACACACACACACACATTCTTTGTACCAAAAACCCAGTCAAAAGTGCTTAAAACTTACATACAGACAGGGTCACAAAGCATATAACCACGAAACCGTGTTATCGTTAAAAAATCAAAGCATCTCAGGCATTAACATTAATTCAAAATGACTTTATTTTAAGACAGCACGTTATATATATATATATATATATATATATATATATATATATATATATATATATATATATATATATATATATATATGTGTGTGTGTGTGTGTGTGTGTGTGTGTGTGTGTGTGTGTGTGTGTGTGTATATATATATATATATATATATATATATATATATATATATATATATATCTAGATAAATGAAAAAAGAATCATGATATGATATTGCAGTTCAGGACATAAAGCTTGCTTGATGGGGTACACATTTTTTCGCAAGGGTGGTTGACATCGTATGAAATCTGGCACAAATCATTTGTGCTATCATTAAATCAATATAGTTTGTTTTTATTCTGCATTTAATGCTGCGTCTGATCGAGGTTGTGTTTAGTAATCGAACCCCAGGTGTTTTTGACACTTTTTTTTTTACCGATTTTTAAAATATCGTTAGTACTATTACCAAGATTTTGTAAAAAAAAAAAAAAAAAAAAAAATGCTGCTAATGGAACATTTGCGGGATTTTATTATTTTTGAATTTATTTGGGATTTCTAGATTTCCTAAGAATTTTTAAAAGGATTTCCGGATTTTTTTTCCAGGTAGGGTGCACGGGATTTCCGAAGGGAAATGCCCCTCACATACATACACACATACGCGCGCGCGCACACACACATAGGTATATGTATGTGTGTATACACGTGTATGTTTTACTCTACATATATGTGCATCTCAGTAGTAACATTTTATATAGCAGATCTGCATCTATGTACACCAACACTAATACTGACCGGAAGGAAGACGAGACACAACCCTTCCCCCTAAAATAAATAAATAAACAGATAAAGGAAAATCGAAAATCCCCGACCGGCAGTGTAAAAAAAAAAAAAAAAAGTGACAAGGTGAGAGGCGCGCTCGAGACTAACAGGGTCGGTGTGTCACATTGAAAACTTCCTTCCCTATATCGATCCCCTCGCCGCGGTTTACGAAAAGGTCAGACTGGGATCTTCGAACACCGCGTGGCCTTCTTGTGTAGCGTTCGTCGCCACGTTACTTCGCAAGTGTCCTCCTCTGCCGCTGAGGAATTAACAAAATTGCAAAGTCCGACGCTATACCAGTGGCAGTGCATTTTCGCTTCCGGCCCATTGCACATTTTGTCTCTGCTCGCATCCCCCTCCCCCTTCTCTCCCCCTCCCCCTCCGCGCCGTCCATACCGGCTTACGAGGTACTTCTGTTATTTCCTTTCATTTCACATCTACTTTGTTTACTTTTTTATCCTGGTCTGTTGCTTTCCATTTCTTCCGCTGTTTTTTTTTCTATTATTTTGTGTAACTCCTTTTTATTATTTCATGTTGTTTATATTATTGTTGTTGTTATCATTATTATTATTATTATTTTCATTGTTATTTTTATTGTTATTACTATCGTATCATTGTTATCATTATTTCCATTATTATTATTGTTAGTTTCAGTATTATCATCATTATAATAATTGTTTTCTGTTACTTTCCTGCGATTCCATTCTAATACTATTACTTTTTTTCTGTCCTAATTGTTATCTATATTACCGCTCCTGTAAATGTTTCACAATTATGCGTAATTATTTAGATCTCGCAGTTGTCATATATCTACATTTATTTGTTTATTTTTTATTATTAATATCGTAATTCTGTTTCTGCATCCTTATACCTTCTGATGTGTCCGAACACGTCGCTAATGACTTCAAGACGTGGATAATGCATATAATCTAACTAGGCCATGCTAAAACACCTCGCCACGATGCGCTCTTTCGGACAACGCGCTGCCATTTCATTTGCCTTCATCGGCCCTATGTTGCAGTCCATTGCTATCTCATTGCACCCAACCTGGAGCTGTCTCATTGGGCAACCTTCCATGTTTCTTTTTTGTAGTTTTTCTGTTCTCAAATATTCCCTCTTCGTCATAGCCTTTACAGGAGTCTTTTACACCTTGAAATATCTAACAATTCGCATTCTGCTCCTTGTAATTAAGTAAAGATTAAGGAACCTGCATAAGTAACGTTTTTTTTTTTTTTTTTTTTTTTGACAGTTAATGTCTGTTAAGGATTAAAGCCTGTAGTACCAAGCACATTAAAGGTGCTGTCACATTAGCACTTTTTCCGTCAATTCTTTGACAAATTTCTGAAATTTTGTCAATTTTTGAGCGAATTGTCGATTCTCCAGTCAGACGATAATGATCGTTTCCGTCTGAAAACCTTTCCGTCAACTTTTTCAGCCAAGCATGGTCAAATCAAGAGCTATATTCGAGAATGTTTATATGTATGTTAAGTAAAATTGTCAAAAAATTGACGGAAAAAGTGCTAGTGTGACACGGCCTTAAGCCATCTATTTCAACCCCGCTGAAGTTATGCTGTAATTTGTCACCCATTCAGCCTTCCCTGTAAGCCAAGATTCCACGTCGCTTACCTGACTCTGGAATGAAGGCTAGGAGGGTTATCTGGGAGTACTCGGGGAGCCAGATCTAGTGGGTTCTTTACCTAGATTCTTCTCATATTATTGTTGTAGCACGATTAAAAACGCTTTTGAAACCAGCCTAGATTTGTCGAGCCCAGAGGAATGTGTAATGGAGCCAAAACCGAGAAGCTGGGCGGTCATAAATAGCTCAGGGTCCAAGACTGACGCTCATATTCAGAGACACTTGGGACACCTTGAACGGAGAGCCGAACCGGGATCTTGCGCCCGTCAGCCAATCAACGTTGACTGCGGCCCGAGACGGGTTGTTGCCCTACTATAGTGATACCTGGGCGACTTTGTACGGCTGAAGTGTTTGTCTGGTCATCCAAAGACCACATGAAAAAGAAGAGAAAAGAAAGAAGAATCTTATTCATTGCTTGGTATGTTTACAGATACGTGCCCTGGAATCTGCACGAGCCCCGCCAAGGTCATTTTGACTTTGGAGATGCGAAAGACCCCATGTCTCCTTTTCTAGACCTACCGGCATTCCTGAAGAAGGCCAAGGAGCAGGACCTGTTGGCTATCGTACGGCCCGGACCCTATATTTGCGCCGAGTGGGACTTTGGGGGACTGCCCAGGTAAGGCCTTTTGAAATTTTAAGATTTGTGAAATCAAAATAGTATATTAGGTGTATGCAGGTTACAAATCACTTACAAAGGTTACAGTCTGATGAGGCTCTTTGATGTTTCTGTACACCTTAAAGAAGCTTATGTAAACAAATGTGTATTTAATATATGACGTTTAGATAAAGATGCCAGACCTAATAGACCGATTCGGTAACGCCTAGCAACCGCCCCTAGCAACGAGCACTTGGTGAAAACAAACCCTTGATCGTTCGAAAAGTCACTGCGCTTTACTCACAAAGTAGCTGAATTTTTCTTAGAATTTCGTTTCTTTGCGTGAAAATGCCAAGGAACTGTGTTGTTGGTTGTTCGAACCAAAACATGATGGGAAAGAAAGGTTTAACCCTTCATATATCCCCAGACCGCGAAAAGAAACCTGAATAATGGAAGCGATGGGTTGGCCTACAGGCCATGAAACGCATGAACTCTGATGGGAGTGCTTGGGCGCTTGGTGGAAAAATTTTACATCTGCTCGGAACATTTTATTGATTGATCTACATAATAATATATTACACCATTTCAAGTCCCAGAGACAGATAATTACTTTCAAACTCTTGTCTATCTACACTACCTATCAAGGCCAAACAAGATCAACATTGTCGACAATAGGTTTTGGCAGTAGTCATATATTCTAAAAAGCAGAAAAGCAATTCTATTATTTTCATTTTATTTCTTTTTAGTAATAAATTGATTTATCATAATTTATATTTACAGGCAAATCATCCCCGCATCCACTTCATCCAGACTTTTCCCAAGTGCTTTCAAGCACTGTACATTAAATTAAAACAAATAGGTATACAGTTGCCTGTTGCCTTTGTGTTTGAAATGTCATATGGTCCATCAGAAGAAATAACTGAAGAGGGCCTATCTCTTGAGGTCAAATTATTGAGTAGAGAGAAAAATGCGTTATGCGCTTGTAGGCCTATACATGACTTGTTTGTCTCATTTGTATAAACACCTAGTAAATGGGAAGAAAAATTATATTAGGAAATGGCACTGATTTCACAGAAAAATACCCTATATAGCTAAACGTCCTACATTACTGTAGCAAATTATGTTATTATAAAATTATTATTATCACCATCTGCTTTATTGATAGAATAGTCGGAGATGTCAGAATATTCAATTTTAGGTCATTTCGAAGGATCGTCGATCCAGATTTCGGTATGAGTACTCTTTTAGCTATGGAGCTTCTAGATTTGCTTCATATCACCTTTTCGCTTCGGTTTTTGAAGAATCAAAGACTTCATACACCATTTTCCTTCACGTTGATAGCGAGGTATCTGCGAGCGACGGGTTTGTTTTCACCAAGTGGACTGGCGACTCCGACTCGTGACGTCACACCGAATCGGTCTATATAAGTACATAGGTGAGGAATGGATAGGTGGATAGCGGATAGTCAGTATTTCCCTTTCTCGAATGAAGGTAGTCCTTGTGGGTAATCGGGTACAGCAGGCAACAGTTAGTGGGTATTTTATTTTTCTTTAGGGGACGAAAGTGTTCCATGTGAGTATGTAGGTGGGTAGTGGATAGTGGGTAATTGGTATTACAAGCGGACGATGGCGGTCCTTGTGGATACTGAGTATTTTTTTATTATTCTCTTGTTTATTATTTCAATTATCATTTTAAACAAAGAAATCTATAAGCAGTACCTATGTATGATGTATGGATTCAGATTTAGAAGTTATTTAAGGCACTAAATAAATCTCTCTCTCATTTGGGTTTAAGTTTCTGGTTACGATTATTCAAGTTTCCCCCTTGTCTGCTGTGCTTAATACTGACGCCTAACGTATATTAGTGTAGGGGTTGATTTTTACTTTCCCAGGATCTGACTAACTGGCATTCATTGGCGTTGAATTCCATTTTCTAAGTACAATTCTTGATTAAGTTTTCCATGTCCATCTGGAGTCATTACCATGAAATTTGCATTATTGGCTTATTTATAGCCCTAAATAATTGATGAAAATAGAAACATAATGGGCACCAAAACTATCCCTGAGGTACTCCGTTCTTTATTCGTCTCCATGTAGAACGCTTATGTCCTTATCAAAGGTCTGAATATACACAATACAGTCAGCCGTCTCTGTAATATTTCAGTCTGTTATGAAATAGTGATTTGCCAAACGTAACCTACCCTCACAAAATCCAAATTGCTTATTAGATACCATGCGTTTTTCAAGCAATTCTACCCATTGTTTCAGAATTATTCCTTTCCAGAAGCTTATATATTACACGTTAACAAAACTGGTCTATAATTTACATAGTTTTGCTTGTCGTTGCTCTCATTATCAAATCATTTATCATAGATATCGTTATCATAAATATCATATTGACGAGTTTTCAAGCCATTGCTAGCTTCCGTCTCTCATCGAATTT